TTACTATAAAATATATTGTTGGTAATTCTACTATAAAATGTATTGCTGGTAATTCTACTAAAAATATATTGTTGGTAATTCTACTATAAAATGTATTGCTTTTAATTCTACTATAAAATATATTGCTGGTAATTCTACTATAAAATATATTGCCGGTAATTTTACTAAAAATATATTGTTGGTAATTTTACTATAAAATATATTGTTGGTAATTCTACTAAAAATATATTGTTGGTAATTCTACTATAAAATATATTGCTTTTTTAATTCTACTAAAAATATATTGTTGGTAATTTTACTATAAAATATATTGTTGGTAATTCTACTATAAAATATATTGCTGGTAATTCTACTATAAAATATATTGCCGGTAATTCTACTAAAAAATATATTGTTGGTAATTTTACTATAAAATATATTGTTGGTAATTCTACTATAAAATGTATTGCTGGTGATTCTACTATAAAACATATTGCTGGTAATTCTACTATAAAATCTATTGTTGGTCATTTTGTTATAAATATGCATTTTTGGTAATTTTACTATAAAAATATATTTTTTACATTTATAATATTTTGTTTTTGTTTGGGTCGTTCACTATTTGCCTATAACTGGGACCCTAACAGATGCTACCACTCCGGGTCAATGTGGAAATGGGAACAATAGATGTTAAGAGTAGTTCCACTGCAGGAACGCCTAGCAAACGTAAAATGGCTAGAAAGGACTAGCTATAATTTGTAAGAAGACTGAATATACCAGAACAGCCCAGGATGCGGGTTACGAATTACAGATATGGAAATATGAAAAGTTAACTATTTGGGAAGTCTTATAACAACTGAAGTGAAATGTGTCATCGAAAATCGAAGGCGCATTGGAAAAGCGAAAGATGTCTTCCAGAAGCTAAGTAAGATATTAAGAAACAGTAAAATGTCATCAGAAACAAATATACAAGTATAATATCAATGCTCCGATATAGCAGTGTATGCTTGACAATTGCCTCACAAGCGTTTCTCACACGTGTATTGCCTTTAAATTCCATTCCTTTTCATGATTATTTCCTATATATTTAGCACACTTTGCAGTACAAGGACATAAGCGAAGTAGTCTGCCAGATAAGCTTGTTAACCATCGCATCATGGCCACAGCCCTCATTTCTTGTTTATGACTCTTTCTGTGATCAACAATCCATCAAAATCCAACTCAAACTCTAAATTTAGCAACTAAGTTTCCTTAATAGAAGGCGACCTAACATAATGTTACGCGGTAAATTTTTAGCGTTCTCATTTCTCTCAATACCACAGCTCCCAGTCTGACTTATTGTTATAGTGGAACACACCTATTCTATAGTTAATAGACTCTCCCACCTATAATAAGTAGGAGTAGTAAGAGTAACGTAGGGATCGGTCAGTGAGTCGACTGGCTGATCGGTTGAACTCTCTGCCTTTGGGCGGGGAGGAACCCGCAGGAGGCTACGCGGAAGGGCGGAGTCTCTTTCGGGGAGGTAAACCGAACCTGAACCCGTTTATACGGGTTCAATGGGCATATTTTTGGCCGATCCCACGGGCTCGGGGATCCCACGTTAAACCGCCCTTGTGCCACATGACGCCCTCGTGGGGGTGGAGGTGACTGAATATCGTAGCTGAGGCAGTCAATGTCGGACGACAGTTAGTCGAATACTAAAGTATCAGCGACCACAACTAGATTACTCTGCGTTATACCTATTATATCAAGTTCCTACTGTTTTGTACGTCGAACCTATTTTAGGACAGACTTAGTACCAATACAAGCCTCCACTATGAAATCACTCCACAACACTTATGAAATGAAAATGCACACTACTCTCGTGTCACTAGAAGTCAACCACAGCTTCCTTAAAAGTGTCTAGGCGAATAGAAGGAACGACAGGTGACTCTGTGCAGACCCGGCGAAGATACCCACTATGTTAATCCAACCCATACTGGTGCCTGGGAGATGCTGTGAGCAACGATGATCATATCATGCCTCTTCATTTCTTCAATGCCGCTCAACGAACTACTAAACAGGGTAGACAAATCCGGGACCGAATCGATGTCTGTACGTGTATCAACTCGTCTATGTTCCCTCGCACATGAATATCGTAACCCGAGGATCGTGTGGCTATAGCTCTCAAGATTTAGATCACATCGTTTGCTGTATATATGAAACTGTACGGACGAGATCACTAGTTCCTTTTCACAACTGGCCAAGCACACAGCGAGGAAACCATCCTCTTCTCCTCAGAAGGAATTTCAGACAGCTTCTTCCCGAAAACCACATCGTTTGCTGTATATATGAAACTGTACGGATCGCTTCTTAGTTAACAATTTCATTCAGTTCTCTACCTTAGTTCTTTGACATTGTATTTTGAAAACAACAAAGACTTATCTTGTGTCCTAAAGTTTCACTTTCTCAGAAACCATAAGACCCACCATGCCAAGCACACTGGGACAAACCATCCCCATTCTCCTCAGAAGGAATTTCAGACAGCTTATTCCCGAAAACCACGACTTTGTGGGACAAGCTCCCGAGATGATGCTTTCTCTACAATATTAACCTCCTCAAGTCTAGGGTTAACCGTTATCTCTCCTACGTAACCACATAAACTGCACTTCTTATATCCGCTTCTTACGCTCGTATAACGACTCCATTTAGTAAATCTCTACCTTGAGTGGCTCTTTGGCCTTGTATTGGGTGAAAGTTAGTTACAAAGAAATACTTATCTTATGTACTAAAGTTTCACTTTCTCAAATGCCGAATTTGCAGCTAGGACCCGCCATGTCACAACTACAGGATCTTCATCCTTTTCATACACCACTGATAATGCTTCCCCTATTTACTACAGTCTTCAATTCTTGAAATCTCGGCTCAACCGTCTTCTACTTTGAACAATGTCGCTCAATAACCCTCTACTTTGAGTAGCTCATTGGTCCTTGAATTTGTTGATCAATAATGAAAAGAAAACGTCTTGGAGAAAAACTAACAGCCCCAGAACAACAAGGAATCGTTGAAAGCCACCATCTTGGACGTAATGGCCAACATAGCCGAAAACCACCTGATTCTCGTTCATTTTTTTTAAAATATTAATTTCATCTATTACAAATCGCGAGAGCCACTCAAGATAGAGTGTTACTAAATGGGTTGTGTTGCATGAATCTAAGATAAAATGTTAGGAAGTGAAGTTTATAAGGATAGATAATGATTGGCCCTTGACATGAACAGCTCCACATGCAAATTACAAATTGGAGATACTAAAATCAAGTAAATGCAGCAATCTAAATATCTGGAAAATCCGAAGTCGCATTGGGAGAGTGAAAGATGATTTCCAAAAGCTAAGCAATGTATTAATAAACACGAAAATTTCGTTAGAAACAACGAAAGGAGTACGAAATTGGGATGTAATATCAATCGTCTTGTATGGCAGTTAATACTGGAGAATCTCATCACAAATGAAAACGAGTTTTGAAGAAACCGAAATGTGGTTCTACAGAAAAATGCTGAGAATATCAAAAACTGAATATATGAGAAACAATCATCATTACAATGCGACTTCGGATTTCGGTGCCTTACTTTCTGTCATCTGTTAAAACACTTCACCGATAGTTAAATTGTTGTGCTTGTTTGGTTTAGCTGTTTCCAATATGTAATTTGCATGTTGGGGCGTCTTTTTTGCTCACGACCATGCATTTTGTCTTCTTGTAAATTTTCAGTCTTTTCTTTTAGTTTCACTTCACTACCTTCTATTGGAGTTTCTGTATTTTCTTTTCTGTGTCTACTATCAACAATGTCGTCTTCAAAATACTCATATCAACGAAGTGACATATAGCCTGCAATAAGATCCGCTGATATGGAGCCATGAAGCAATAAATACTACGAAAAATGGCCGGTGGGAATTTTGCTATACAACATGACATATAGATATTATAATAAATTGTCTTCAGCCAGCAATGAATAATGATTTACGCTTTATAGAAGCCCAGGAATTGCCGGGCGTGGTCTCTTGTGGAAACGGGAAGTCTTGGTAATTGAACCGACAAAGAATTTTTTTGCTTTATTTGCTATGGCATTACGCTTTACATAATGAACATTTAGATATCGGATGAGAAGAGAAAATGGTAAAGGTAATATCAATATTAGCCGTTTCCCAACAAAAAATGGCATTCGCTCGAGCTCGAGCTAATAGTACTCGCTCTACAATCAACCCGTATAGTGATCCGAATAGAGAAATAGTTTAGTGAATAGAGTAGAAAATAGGGATCCGTATAGTAATAGAGGATAGAGGACAAATAACAATCCGAATAGTAATAGAGGATAGACTAAGAAATGGCGATCCGTATAGTATAGAGGATAGACTAGGAATAGCGATCCGTGTAGTATAGAGGATAGACTAGGAATAGCGATCTGTGTAGTATAGAGGATAGACTAGGAATAGCGATCCGTATGATATACAGGATAGACTAGGAATAGCGATCCGTTTAGTATAGAGGATAGACTGGGAATAGCGATCCGTATAGTAATAGACGATAGATTAGAAATGGAGATCATTAATCGTCAGCTACTTCCTGCATATATGCGTTTCCTCTATGGTCACGTGGTCTACTTAATTCAATAATGGGATCACCTGTGTTTGCTCACTGGCGATTTATATTCAAATTCAAGTGTCGGCAGCGACACTTTATTCCTATATAACACCCATCGAAGTACTGACCAGGCCTAAAAGTCACAAGTTATCGTGGTCGAGAGCTGGAGCGTGCTAGCCTTGTCCAAATTGTTGATCACGCTAGATAACACGCTCTTTCCCAGAAACTGTAACTAAGGTCTGCTCTGCATAGTTGCAGTATAAACCACAGGTGGGCTCTGTGGGTGTTGAATAAACACAAATGCGCCTGAGCAATCGTCTGCAGTAGGGATTGGCTAGCCGCCATAGTAGACGGGTATCCTCGAATATTAGAGGCCAGCTATACATACATACCCGCACATCCAAG